CCAGCTCTGTTTCCCTAATCTGCATTCTAAATCTCCTCTGTAAACAAAACTCAAATAACAACTTTTTATGACAAATGTTGAACACCTCCAAGATGACATTTGCAAAATAAACTCTACTTTTATAACTAAGAAGCATTCTAAACATAGAGAAAATATTCTTCTTTATGCGGTTCTCTTTAATGGAACCACACACAAAGAATTTTATTTTCTTTGTGCGTGTGTGTATGTGTGTGTTCCTGACTATCTTTCTGAAATGCGTGCATTCCCATCATGCCCCGGTGTTTTCCAGCCCCATGATGCCCTCACTTTTGATTGTGGAGATGATGTTGAAGTGCACAGGGTATTTACTGATCCGGTTATCTTGTTCTGTGACAGGCAGAATCAATCAATCAAGAAGCCGGCTTTGCGCTTACATATTCCAGGCACATCTCCGCACTTCAGGATACGAGATCACAGTGTTATCCAGCCAAATTTGATCAACAAATGCAGTTCCCCTGTGCCACAGCAATCTCAGATGAAGATGTTATTATGTGGAACTGAGCAAAGTGATAAAGACAGTACAGCGGAGCTCAGAGAAGCCCGGCTGGACCTTACTGACAGCTTTTATATACTAAGGCGGCAGTGTCCCCTTCTTCCAGGATTGTAAAAGTTCCCTTGATTTGAAGAAAACCATGCCGTACACACACAGGTGACCCCAAACATTCCATTTCCCCATCTAACACTAAAATCCTCAAAGAAGAAGCAACACATATTAGTGTAAGATTGCAGGCAAAATCCTATAATAAGAGGGCAATGTTTAAAGATCAGAGTACGCCTATGTGAATTTCATAAAGCTCTTCTGATAGTCTATATTATTTTTATTAATTGGTATAAGCTAATGTCTGAAAGAAAAATGTTTTCATACTTCGATCAGTGTCATAAATAATTTCATTAACATCACAGCTATGACATTGTGTGTAAGCTGTTGTCAATATTTTAAGTGGATCTCAAAAAAAAAATCTTAGCGACTCTCTTATTGTGCCAATAGCTTTTACTTCACTACTGCCCTGCAGTTATTTTACATTATTTAATCCTAAATCTCATCTTTTTGGATTCTACCTTCCTCTTGCATTTTAAATCTTTAATGGGAGCCTTTGGCGGTCCTTGGATACAATGATTAGATATCTGCAGAGAGAAATTGAAAAATTAATCATCATTTCCATTTTATATTTTTGTACTACACCAAAAATTACTTACTCGTAGAGCTAACTTCTACACTCTTGCAATATGTTCCTTAACACTGCAAATGCTGAGAACGATTTCAGATAAAGCACGTCCAAATTGAGCCAGTAAACAGCCTTAAGTTATTCTTCGAGATTTGTATTCTACTTTCTCATCCAAATTTCATTTCCAATCATTTTAATTAAAATACATTTATTGGCTGAGGTTACGTTACATGTGGCCTAAAAACCAGGGCAAGAATACCCTGAGCTAATCATAGGAATGATGTTAAAACTGTTTATTATCTGTTTATGAATTTTCCTACTTAAATTACTGCATTTCACAACTCTATGCAAAACGTGAACCGCTATCCACAGGCAGTTTATTACAGAAACTGATATATGCATTAATCTGACCTTCACCTAAATAGCTCCGTAACCACAAGGAATTAAAAATAAAAATTAAAAGAAAGGCCTTAGAGTCAGCTATCACAAGTCCCAACAAACTGCTAAATCTATTAACTTTGTTTTCTCTTTTCACTATTATTACACTGGAAAGAAAAATTCAACTGGAAAATTGTGCCTTTTTGTTTCCCTTGTCATCATGTAATAAGCATGAGAAATATATGTACAATGGCCAAATGGCCGGTAGACAAAACACCCACTCTAAGTGACGTACTGTTTTCCATACCACTCAGACAAAATCAAAACAACAGAACTGCTGCAAACAAAAACAAAATAACATTTCCCATCAGCATTCCAGACAGAGAAAATTTACAGGAAAAGAAGCTGGGAAAAGAACCAGAATGAAATAACTGCTCATACCTCCACTCTCCCTAAAGCCATTTCTGCAGACAAACAGCACTTACTTGAACACTGAACTGTTTAACAATTGATAAAATGTTTGCCAGTGTTGGAAAACTTTTTTTTCTCTTTTTTTAGGCAAACATTTGTACTGTTTAAAGGGATGAAGTACTTCTAGAGAACCGAGGGGCCTACATTTTTTTTTTTAAACGGGGAGTGGGGGGACTTAAGATAAGGAAGGAAACTTAGGTTGTTGAAGGGTACCCATGCAAGTTCGCGATTTAATTATTTCTCCTTTCCCTGAGAAAGACATAACCGTTTCCTGGTACTGCCAACTCGGCATGGCAGGGGAGTGTAAAACTCACTTGAAAAAGTGAAGATGATCTCCATTTATAGCTGAGTCATATTTATATAACTTTATTAAGCTACCAGCTCCCTGGAAGTTACCAGATGACCGTTTAGCCTAGATAGCTGTTGTTGTCAGTTGCTATTGAGTTGATTCCGACTCAGGGTGACTCCATGTGTGCAGAGTAGAAGTGCTCTTAGGGTTTTCAATGGCTGTGACATTTTGGAAGGAGATCGCCAGGCTTTTCTTCCAAGGCACCTCTGGATGGATTTGAACCTCCAAACCTTTCGGCTAGTATTCGAACACTTTACCGTCTGCGACACCCAACAACTCCTTAGCCTAGATACCTGCTCATAAATTGAGGCAGCGCAGTGACTATCAACAGCTGTATTTTGGCTATTTCATCGAGTCCCTTTAAAGTGTCTGCATCATCACAGTGGAGGCTTGTCAGCTGCACTCTTGCTAACACAATTCCTCTGTTTTGCCTGGCAGTAAATGGACGCCTTTGCCCTACCGTCATCTAAACAACTCCGTTAACATTTGCCCCCAAGCGTCTCTCTCTTTGTCCAGTCCCTGTCTTCTAACAGATGTCATCCAAGCCTAATCAAGCATAAAATGGTCATAAATATTTCTTTCTGGTAGATTTCACATTCGCATTTCATGCAGGGACATGATATTTTTCTACTACCTCCAGGGAGAGCCTAATGCAAAAACCAGTTACTTACATTCTAGCCTCATGTTCCTCTAGTAAAATGCAGAACGTGTTTTCAGTTCAAAGGCATAAAAAGGCGTAAGACTTTATCTTCTGCCTTTTGTTTAAATGCACCTTTTTTCTTTCCCTTTTTCCTACCCAAAATACATCTTCATTTCACCATTTACACTTATGCATTACAAATGTTCCTTTGTGCACGTGAACATATAAAACAAGATGGAAAATGAGACCCTGTCTACTATATTTCAGGAAATTTAGGATTTCAACGTTACACTCCGTAATTACTGGCAAAAAGATTTTTTTTTAACTCAGATACCTAATTCAAATAACAAGCTATTTAAGGAGGAGATGAGATAAGAAGGCTCTTCTATTTTGGTTCATAATTTATGCACAATTTTGCAACCCCCTTCATCATACTTAGTTAAAACAATAAGATGAATCCAATGTACAAATTTAAGGTTCATGCCAATTTAACAGTTGAAAAAAGATGAGATAGGCCTCGTTTCCAATGCTTAAAGTTTGATCAAGCAGGGGAAGCTACTCCAGATAATTAATTCTGCCTTCTTAATGAGAGAAGAATTGGTAATCAGCACAATCGTATTTATCTTCAGCAAACTTAGTAAATAATGAGTCTTAATCTAAAATAAAACTCCCCTAATAATACTTTCGAGGCCATATGTCTATGTTTCTCTTTCCTATTCCTTTTGTCAAAACAAAAATCTTATACTGCTATTTAAAGTGAACTGCAAAACACTTAGTGATATATATCACAACAATGACGCCCCTCCCCACCCCTCCCTCCATCGAGCCTAATATTTGATTACTGCTAGTCAAATCAAGCTTTCAGGCAAATAATCTCCATTTTTAAAGTTAATGAGATATGGTCATGTCGACAACAGCTTGCAGAAACTTTTAATTTTAATTCCTACAGGCTGTGCTGGCCTCTTTTACAGCAACTACTGTATGAATGAGTCAAATTTGCCAACATGGCTCATGTAGACAAGTGCACACTAATTAAAAATACCCACTGGTATCATAATTTAAATACCATGAAAATAAACTGTGAAAGTCGCTCCGATCCAGTCTCGTGGCTTTCCTTGGAGCGCGCTTCCTTTGACTATAAGATATTTTATTGCCTGCGTATTCTTAGCTGAAAACCATTTTGCATCTTTGAGGAATCTGGGATTTTGAGGTAATTATACAATTTGTGTTAATATTTGTTTCGCATAAGCTGTTAAGCAGGTCTCCCCGAACGACCACTAATTGAGAACACCATATTGCTGGGGCAAGTGGCAATTTATATTCTTGATTTCAAGTCCTACAACTTCTTTCCACGGTGCCTTCCCTTTTCTCTCTCAGCTAAAGGCACTACACACTGAAAATAACAAGAGGATTGCTTTTGTCATTCTTTTCTTTTCTTCTTCGTTTTCAAGTTTTCATTGTTCTTAATATTGGTATTTTAACTGGAAGATAGGGCATGCTTCTTTACCTAAATTCAACCCTTAAATGTTCTTATAACTTCTTTTCAACTGTATGTCTATATAGACATACACACACACATACTTTTTTAAAATTTAAATAATTTTTGGCAAGGGAATTCCCAAGTGTGCCTTTGCTGGGATGAAAGCAGAGTTCATACAGGGTAAAAAAAAGTTGGCACCACAAGGGTTAAAGCTATTTGAGGGGTTAAATATGCAATTACCGCTGACTAAAACCAGAGAGACATATAGATAAATAGAAGAAATGAAGTCCCCAGGTTCCCTTCAGAAGCCTTCATCACATTACTACCAGACAGAAACTCTTTAAGTACCATTTTCAGATGTTAAATCATTGTTCGTGCTGCACATATTCTCGCTCCTCCTGGGGGAACAATATCTGAAGACAGCGTGCTAACAAATGCAATCCCGTAAACAGGCATTTTTCCTCTTGTTGTTAGTACCTTTGTATTCTCGCTCCCAGCTCTGTCATCCATGCCTTCTCTCTGCTTTGAAGTGAAGTACTGAATGAGCGGTGTCATCTATTATCCAGAGTGTGCATGTAGATTATAAATAAGAAATAAAAGTGACTTTCAGTACACTATTTTTGCATTAGCAAGTTGCCTTCTCTCTTACCTCCTTCTGTCCTTCATACCTTGCAACCAATAATCTATTAGAAATAGGAATTTCAGGGTTTCTTTCAGAGGGAGACAGAGCCTAGAAAATGTATATGCAGAGATGTGAAAAGTTATATTGACACAATCAAAGCGGGGGCCTGGGGCCGGTCTCTGCATCCAGCTTTTCTCCCTCTTTAACTCTGATCTTACAGATGTCCTTCAGGACAAGTGTCTGGTGGTGGGACCTGGCTCTTCATTTACATATTTCTGTTGACAAACAGAGTCCATGAATATTAATTATTCTGAAGTTTATTTGCAGAAAAGGCACTTTCTAATCCTTATCAATTATTTATTGAAAATCTCCCCCATCTAATAATCTCATTAACATTATTATACTAAGGCCAACAGCAAATATTCCTTTGATAAGTAACAACCCGACCCGTTATCCTTCCTGCCAAATCTCATGTAGCCCCCCTTTGCTTCACCACGGACAGCCTTGCTTTTGTTTTCAGAAAGCTCTAGGTTAGTCCTCTTTTTTTTTTTTAACATAAAATAAAATTCACATGGCTGTGCTTTATACTTTAAAATGGAAGTTGCTGATACAGTACACTAAAGAAAAAAAAGAATATAAAAATAAAAACCTTGGGAAAATGTATGTGTGCTCCTTTGAATCCCTGTTGGTTATGCACAGCATTACTAAATGGAAACTCCTGGGGCCAAATCCCCACTCACGGAGCAAGTGGCCCCAGGAATGTGTGAGGGCTGCAAAAGAAGACCTGGTGGCACAGTGGTTGAAGTGCTCGGCTCACAACCGAAAGGTCGGTGGCTCAAACCCACCAGCCTCGGCAGGAGAAATATGTGGCAGTCTGCTTCCGTAAAGATTTACAGCCTTGGAAACCCTATGGGGCAGTTCTACTCTGTCCTACAGGGTCACTATGAGCTGGAATCAACTCAACAGCAATGGGTTTTTGGGGGGAGGGCTTGAAAGAATGGTAGGCAAACTAACACTACATCTCAATAATGGTGACATATTACCGTTATGTAGTGTTTCATTGCTTACCAAGCATTTTGACCTACAATGCCTCATTTGCTTCCTCTAACACCCCTCTGAGGTATGTGGGGCAGTTACTGTTAACCTTATTTTACAGATGAAGAAACTGAGGCCAAGTGACTGTGTAAGGTCACCAAGCTAAACGGGAGCGGCACGGACTAAATTCCAGGTTTGTTCACCCTGACTTATACATTCCACTTTGTTGAGCTGGTTCTGTGTACAAAAGGAGAAATTCCTTCTCATTTCCTTCCTTCTTGATTCACTGCTGGTATTTTTTAGGACGTTCTTGCTTGGAACTTCATTTTTTATAAGGCTGGAGTGCCTACTAGTGATTTGCTAGGTACCATGCTTTCCAAGGAAACTCTGGTGGCCTAGTGGTTAAGTGCTACGGCTGCTAACCAAAAGGTCAGCAGTACGAATCCACCTGCTGCTCCTCAGAAACTCTATGGGGCAGTCCCACCCTGTCCTATTGGGTCACTATGAGTCGGAATCGACTCGATGGCAACGGGTTTTGTTTTTTATGCTTTCCAAAAATCACTGAAATATCAAATACCTAAAACTGCCTGATTTCACATTTAATCAAGCACTAATGAGAGAAGAAAACAGTACACAATTTCAGAGGCAAAAGAACCTTAGAAATGAACTACATAGTTTCCAAAGGCTCAAAGAGTCAGTGACTTGCGTCAAATCACAGGGTGACTTACAGCAGGAAGACTCCAACCCTGGCAGCTGATCCCCACACATCAATGTTCCTGAACCATATCTGCAGAGCCCTTGCATTTTGTAAGGAGTCCCTGGGTGATGCAAATGGTAAACACGCTCAGTGTTCGAGTCCACCCAGAGGTGCCTTGGAAGAAAGGCTTGGTAATCTACTTCCAAAAAATCAGCCACTGGAAACCCGATGGAGCACTGTTGTACTCTGACACACATGGGTCACCATGAGTCAGAATTGACTCAACAGCAATTAGTTTGGTTTTGGTTTCTGGCTGCATTTTGCAAACTTGAGAGCTGACTTCTTCTTTCATTTAGGTCCAGGGGTCAGATGTTTTTTTCTACCACAGAAGGGGTTTCTCATCTATTGCCTAAGAACGTGAGTCAATATCCTTAAAAATTTCTGAAAAATTGACTCTGTCTGATAAGGACTAAGAAGCCGGGAAAGCATTTTAGCTTCATTCTCTTTCAACGCTAAAGTCTCCATCCCCTCTTCTCTTCACACCACCAACCAATCAGCCTGATTTCATTTACAAAGTTTCTAGAAGGGAAATGTCTCAAAAAAAAAAAAAAAGATTTTTGTTTTCCCTTAGGTCTTGTCCTGTATAAAAACATTTAAGCATAAAAGAGCTAGCATGATCTCTTGATACAAGGTACTAGCTGTTATCATATGAGTGAAACTACATATCACACACAGAAGAACAAGACCTGGCCCAAAGTGAAGAGGCTGCACATTCCACTTGGAAAGCCAGTGAAAGGCAGTTTCAAAACGGGAAGAGGGGAATGCTAATAGGCCAGATCATGCAGACTATGATTGTCCGGGAAGGAATTACAGAGGTTACCTCTGGCAAGTCTGATAACAATGAGATGTGGAGATGAGGGTTTAGGTCATCTCACAAGGGATTGCTAGTATATTCTGGGAAGTCTCAGTTTCTTTCCCAACAGCCCTCAGGAAAATGTGGGCTTACATTCTCCATGATAACCACAGTGAGTGAGACTTTAAGAAATGGGAATTGGGAAACAAACTATGGTAGGAAGTACTGGAGCTGAGAAGAGTTCCTTAAAAGAAAAAAAGTGAATAAATAAAAAGCAATTAATCTTAAGGTATGGTGTACTGGCAGAGGAACTTTACCACCTGCTGTACAGAAACAATTTCCTTGAACCACCATCTATATATACTCTAGGACAGGGTCAGCAGACTACTCTCTGAGGGCTAAATCCAGCCTGCTGTTTTTGTAAATAAAGTTTTATTACAACAGAGCCATGCCCATATATGTGTATTGTCTAAAGCTGCTTTCACGCAGAGTATTTGTGACCAACACAGAATAGCCTGCAAAGTAAAAAATATTTACTATCTGGCACTTTACAGAAAAAAGTTGGCTGATCCTTGCTTTAGAAAGATTATGTTGTTGCTGTTAGCTGCTGTGGAGTTGGCCTGTGACACATGGTGACCCCATGGACAATGGAATGAAATGCTGCCTAGTCTTGTACCATCCTCATGATCCATTGTGATCCATAGGATTCTCAGTGGCTGATTTTTGGAAGTAGATCTCCAGGCTTTTCTTCCCAGCTCATCTTAGTCTGGAAGCTCTGTGGAAAGCTATTCAGCAACACAGCAACACACACTGAACAACCAGTGCCCCTCAGAAAGGTTATACTGGATAAAAATAACTACTTCCCAATAACTGATAATAAAATTGATGAAATAGCTGTATATGTACACACAGTGTCACACAGACATACCCTATGTACCATATGTTATTCTTTGTGCTGTTGGTAACCACAGGAATGAAGTTTCTGATTTCATCTATCCTGACAGGTCATGGAAGAATCCCCATCATACCCCAAAAGATTGTTTCTAAACACATCAGGGTCGTCCATGCAAAAGCAAATCAAAGGACAAAGCCTTTATTTTGTCTGAGCTTAGTTTCTTCATCCATAAAATGTGAGGCTGGACTAGACCATCTAAGGAATTTTAAAAATTCTATGACTCTACAGAGCAAGAAAAAGGAGAAAAATGAACACACACACACACACACACCCTATATACTTGGGATGAGGAGTCAAACACAGACGGAGAATTGAGGACACAGGAGACTGCAGGTCCAATCAAGCTGGAGTAGGTAAATGTGTGTTATAGGGACAAAATGAAGCTACTTTTATCGATTCCTACAGGGGGTGTGACTCTAGAAGAGTCACAGCACCAATAACTAGGTTTAGAGGAAACACCTATTTAAACCTAGCAGATAGTCGTTAGGAGAGATCATTAAGGGTCAACAAAACCTTTTGGGAAGGAGTTTTGAGCTACAAGGAGACTGGGGAGAAATGGGGCCTCCTTTGGACTTTCAAAGTACCTTGAGGCTGAAACTTTGAGGTAACCCAGAAATGTGCAGTTACTTCAACTTGTATTAGAAATTGAAATAGCTTGATTTTCTTCTTCAGCCCTCCACGTGTACCTCTTTTTTGCAATAACAACACGGATGTGGCCACAGTGACACCTTCTAGGAACCAAGGTTCCTTGCCTGTCAAACGGCAGCCCCAAATGAGAATTTTTGAAATTATGACTTTTCAAATACAATTGCTTTTCAGCCTGCTCCCTCCCGTGTTTTTGCCAAAAGCAGACCTGTCAGCTTGTTTCCAAAGGTAAGAAGGGATAAAGACAGACTAACAATGACTCTCTGCAGCCTGGTATTTGGGCTCTGGTGTTGTTCCAGAACAGTGACCAACTAACATGTTAGCCAGTTTAACAGGCGAGGAAGGACACGGCGTAATCAGCCGACTTCGCAAAACAAGCCATATGACAGTTGAAGACTGTTTCCCAAACAGGAAACAAACATATGCTTGTGCTGCTAGGGAAATGTACATAGTTTGACTTGTAGGTTATGAAATCTTTAAAATTCCTACCCTAAGTTCTACCAGACAGCCTTGGTGAGTACTATCTTTTATGTATTGTGCTACGCAATTGTTCTTTGTTGACTAGAGTGGTGTTGCCGGCGAGCAAGGCAGGTGAGCCACAGAAACATTAAAACACAAAATCACACTTGGGAAGCAAAGGACCGTTTGCAAACAGACCTAATTGTTCTTAAAGCAAAATAAGCCACTCTTCCCAGATATCAAGACAACGAAAATAACTATTAAAAAAAAAAAAGAAAACCCACTGTCA